AGAGGGCAGGGGTGTGGGGGTGGGAGGGTGGATGAAGGGATGGTCGAAAGTCTTCAGATGGGACTTGAAGGAGGCAAGAATGGGGGGTAAGGTGAAGAGATTGTGGGATAGAGTTCCAGAGTGTGGGGGCAGAGATGCTGAGTGCCTGACCGTCAATGGTGGAGCGGGAAGTGTGGGGGACTTGAAGCAGGCCAGTCTCCACTGAACAGAGGAAATGGACAGGTTTATATGGGATTATGAGGTCAGAGAGGTAGGGGGGGGATCAAGACCATGGAGGGCCTTGAAGGTAAGAACAAGGGTTTTGTACTTGATTCTTTGAGGAATGGGGAGCCAGTGAAGCCGGGCAAGGATGAGGATGATTGGTTCCTGGAGCCTGGTGTGGGAGAGGACATGAGTTGCAGCATTCTGAATAATCTGCAGCATGTGGAAGGAAGAGTTGGTAAGTCCAGTGAGCAGGCAGTTGGTGTAGTCAAGCTGGGATGTAATGAAAATGTGGATCAGGGTCTAGGCGGCCTGCGTTGAGAGGAAGTGGCGGAGGCGGGCAATGTTGCAGAAGCGTGGAAAGGTGGAATGGGTCATGGCATGAATGTAGGGTTTGAAGAATAGCTGAGGGTTAAAAAGGACACCGAGGTTTTGGAATGGCTAAGTGAAGTGAATGGTGATAATATCAGTGGCTGAGGTGAGGAGGTGCTGCTGGGTGCCAAGCAGGAGGGCTTCTGTATTATTGGAGTTGAGGGTGGAGGCGGCAAGTTGAAGTTGGATGTCATCCGCATACATGTGGAAATTGACCCCATGTCTGCAGATGACATCACTGAGTGGGAGCATGTATAAATTGAAGAGGAAGGGACCAAGGACAGAGCCCTGAGGGATGCCACATGTGACAGTACGAGGGCTAGAGGAGAAGTGCAGGTGGTGGAAAAGGTAGGATTGGAACCAGATAAGAACAGAACCATTGAAGTGAAGGTGAGAGGAGAGGAGATGAAGAGCAATAGAGTGGTTAACAGTATTGAGAAGTCGAGAAGGATGAGGAGACAGAGAGAGCATGGATCGCAGGTGGTCAAAATGTCATTGGACACTTTGACCATGGCTGTCTCTGTGCTGTGAGCAGCACAAAACTCAGATTGGAGGGGTTCATGGAGGGAATCCTGGGAGAGGAAAGAGCAAAGCTGGAAGTGACGACTCGTTCCATGATTTTTGATAGAAAAGGAAGGTTTGAAGTTGGTGAGCAGAGATCAGTCAAGAGAAGGTTTTTTGAGGGTAGGGGTCATGATGGCTGTCTTTAGGGGGATGGGAATGGTGTCAGTGGACAGGGAGAGGTTAACGAGGTCTGTCAGTGGGTGGGGGGGGGGGGGGGGGGGCAAGAAGGTGGAGCTTGAAGGTGAGGAGAGGGGCCTGTCTGCTTGTTCAGGTGGATTTTAAAGTTCCCATAACCCAAATCAAAAGAAATGGAGTTTATTCTGGTCTCTTAGCTAACAGTCCTCAAGAAAAATGTGGTCATTTACATTTTGGCTGTTTGTGGGGCATTTCTGTGTACAAATTCGCTCCAAACAGCATTTGCCTATAAATACGCTATCATTACACTTGAAAGCAATTAACGTTGAGCCATTTCAACAGTACAGGTGCTACATATAAGGGTTATGTTATTTAAAAATACAATAGCTGCTTATTTCTTAAACAGATGTTTAAAAAAAATAATTGTATATCTGAAAGGATTTTCTCCCTCCTGTTACTATATTCCTGCACTGCCTTCTCAATACTCAATACTTTGACATTTTCGTAAGTGTCTACTCCCTGTACAAGTTGGATCCATAACCGAACATGATCTGTTAATATCTGTCTCAGGCTAACAGTCCAGCAAGTTAGCCAATGTCAGACTGCTTTAGTTCTTTTTGCCCAGCTTCTTCCGGCTTGAGTCAAAGTCTCAGCTAAATATTTCACTCCCCTCCCCCAACAAAAGCACACATAACCATGAGATTGCCCAGATGTCGCTCATGCTCTCACACTTCTGGATCTCCACTGCACCACCTGTATTGCTCCACATCAGCTGCCTCAAGCCCTGAATCAATGCTCCCATGTTGTCGCTCACTGTGTCTCAGCAGCAGCTAATTGAAGCCTAGTGCCAGCAAAACGTGTCTCGAAGCAGGACGTTAACACAGAAAGTATTGGATTGGATTGCACCTGTCATTATAAAACACAGACTATATTAACAAAGACCTATATTTTTTTATGAAATAAGTTCCACACACCAAAACTGATAGTCAGCGCGGATGAACATTCTTCAACAAGAAAGGGTTTCACATATAAACTTAAAATTTGTTTAAACATATCGTTTACTATTCACTTATTTTTTCCTGAACAAAAACTATCATGAAAAACAACAATGAATTCGTAAAGAAATTATATATATCTTTTTAAAGTCTGCATTTTGGCTCTTTACCGTAAACGTGGCAAATGAATGAATGAATGAATGAGTCAGTGAATGTGCAGTAAATCCAATCACAGAGACGTTACGTCAATGTTATAGATTTAAACATGTTAAAATGGCAATACACTCATTGCGTTTATAATAGATATCCATCAGTAATGTATGAATACGCCAACAAGCTTGAACATGTTCATTAAGTTGCTGGATGCATCGGGTTGCAATCCCTTTGCTTGTCACTCCTTACTGAGTATCAGTTGCTGTAGCTCTGCTCTGAGAATATCCACTGAATATGATTCACACAAAGGGCATCTGCTTCCCCCAACTTACTGAGTGCTAATTGTGCCCAAAGGGTTGGCGTCATTCCCTCTTGTCACTTTTTTTTCTTTTAAAAAAAATGGAAACTACATTTCAATTCCTGAAATAAAGATTCGCTTCCCTTCAGAAAAAGGTCTGCCCTTTTTTTAAAAAAGAAAAGTACGATTCCAGAAACTATTAATAGTTTGAACAGAGTTGAACGGAATGCCAGCCACTATTCCTGAGTTACACCATAGAAAGTAGTCTGTATCTGGAAATCACATTTTGTTAAAAAAAAACTCTTCAACTGAAATGGCACCACAGCTTCTGATATATAACATATACTTTACTCGAAGCTTTGTAACTTGCACCCAGTACTCTATCATGAAACTGATTATTTGGATTTTAAAATGCATGTCATATTTCCGACAGAACAGAGCCCTCAAGATGTCAAATCTGCTGTGTTTGGTACATGGTAAAGTGGCACCTTATTAAATGTAAGACTTAATCAGTTATATGCCCACAAAAAGCAAAAATATAAAACTAATATGAACCCAATTATGTCAAATAACACTTTTATACACCATGCCGGCGCAAATGCAGTCACTCGTTTCAAAAGAGTTTTACAAGTAGTGCACATTATTTAACTGCATGAATTTGGCTGTATGTATGTTGCTCTGATCTCTATATATTTGCACCTGACTATACAAACAAACATACACATCTGTTATAAACTCACTATATAACCAAGTAAGTTGCTAACGAGTAAACGAGGATTTAGGGGTATGGCTAACTGCAGTGTATTATTCGACATAAAACGTGAAATTATCATCACAATAGGACCCACTTCTTACTAAAACATACACAATCGTGTGTTTTGCTCCACGGTAATATCCCAGACTGTGCTGCACTATTACCTTCCTGGGCAAATTGAAAGCTTCCTCTTAGATAATCTGTCGATAGCTTCCGAAAATAGACGAGCGCTGCTGATACCCCCGTCTTGTAAATTGTCTGCTCTGCTTATCTCTCCCTAAATAAATACAAACAGGATTATAAGAGCGATAGAAGCCACTTTTTCTCCAGGCACCGCCATCCTGACGCCGCTCCTGTTTACCACGTTGTAACTGACAGTGAGGTCTCACTGCCAATTCTCATTGGTAACAGTCTCAGAGTGAGTGACAGGATGCAAACAGCACCTAAACTGCGGACACTTTTAAACTGTGATTTTTTTTATTGGGAAAAAAGATGTTTCGATCACATTTTGCAGAAATCACCAAGAAACACGAGACATGTGGCCAACCGAGAGCAGTAAAAAAAAACCAACGCAATCTGTTTCACATGGGTGAAGGATATTATAGTTTGGGAACTAAAGACTAGGCAATTGGTAAAACATTTAATTGTTGCTTGGAAACTGTATCGTGAACATTGGGAATACCAGGAAGGGCCTTCCTACTGCATTGAGATAACTGGATACAATTAGCATGGTTCCATCGTGGGATATAACTCTTCCATCTACTTTATTCGTGAGTGCATTGCAAACTGTATTCATTTTCACGACATTTTCCCCCTTACTCAGACTATGTCTAGTGTCACAGAAACCTCAGATGAATTAAAGAATGAGTTTCGATTGCCTGGGAAAAAAGCAGCATCTCCACATCACCCAAATCCAACCAAACTGGGCAGAGGGTTTCAGTGTGTGCACTCTCAGACCGGGCTATTCCCGCTTCTCAAAACACTGACATCAACTCAATTGCGTTCATTCAGTACAAAGGTATCATTTATGTATGAAACGTATCATTTCCATAACACGTTTGCTAACAAGGCATTCATTCTATTCTATATTTTATCGATGATTTTCTTTATATTATTATGAATTGTTGGTCCCACCTCCTTGTCTCACAATGTTAATATGTTTGTGTTTAACACAAGGGGCGACATTAGTGACCCCCACCACCACTTACCCGCGGGATTTAAGTTTAAATTCTTAAATATTGCTCTCTTTGTGAATCGAGATTCAGCAAAAGTCTAATTTTACTTCTGTTATTATCTCCAATTACGGAACCAACATTGTCTGTGCTCGGGATCTAACCCTAGTTATCCATATGGCGATGTGAAAATCGTTGTAATTGCATAAATCAGAAGTATTTCGTAGCTATAAGGTCAGTTCCAGCGAAGGACAATCCACAAAGACATTACATTTCAGATGTGATTCACAACTGTAACTCATTTAGGAAAATCGATGAGTTTATTTCTACAAAATAAAAAGTGTCGTATCTTGTCATTTCTCACGAGCTTTTGTTTGGTACACATGTTATTTTTTTAACAACAAATAACTGTACAGATTTTAGACACTTACAAATCCATTACTGGCCATTTACTTTGGAAAACCCTAGCACGATGGGCAAGTAAAATATTTCAAAGTAATCTGCAAGTAGATGGATAGGAATACGTCTGTATGAAACACGACTGAGCTTTGTTCTGTAACATCATCCACAGCATTTATTTATTGCAAATATGCACTTCGCAGAACCTGTGCTCTGACACATTAAATAATAGTTATTGGGGGAAAAATATATACATTTCCGCTTGCTGCCTCGGGCTGGTTAATATCTCCTCAGTAAAACAAAACTTATCTTGAAGAGCTCGATAGAGCGTCTGGTGTGAGCTATACAAGGAGTCAGGATGTGCAAACTGGATAAACAAAATTACTTAACAGGGGCTTTCAGATACATATGTGATGTGTTATCAGGACTCCGATTAGATTGAATAGGATTCCTGTTTTGGCCACTTAAGGTCTGTATTGGTTGTGACATCCTTTTTTACCCGCTCAATGCTGAATACTGACACAAGCTGTTTGACTTCTCATAACTCACAACGTTTAACGATTAAATAACGTAACTTCCAGTCGTTTCGATGTTGACTTAACTCTTAAATTTTATTGAATTGATCAAACGTTACAAAAAAAAATATCAAAGGGGTGATTATTAAAGGGGCGATTCCAATAAATCTTTTTTTTCCTCCCCACCAAAGACAAGCATCAAGCCTGTAAAAAAAAAAACTCAAAAGGAAGTCTGGCACACAGTCACCTTCTAGAGAGAGAAAAAAATTCCGAAAAAAAAATGCATTCTTTATCCGCGTTACAAACACTGGTCAACTGGCTAAAAGAATTAAAAAATACTATAATAAATAATAATATTCAGCACTGTTCAATCTTCTATCGGCATCTCTTACTATTTACAGGGACTACGTCTTTGCTTCTGTTTTATACATTGAGAATTGTTGGCATGAGGCGAAGGTGATCAGCTTTCCTGTCTTTACTGTATTTTCCTTGCTGTTTGGGGGCAGCTGTGGTCTCACCAAGCCCTGATCCCATGAAACGCTCCTTGCAGAGCCGAGACCCCAGCGCTTTGGTGGGCTTGAGTCTGTGCCGCAGAGTAGCCCATGTTGTTAACGTTGAAATTCATGCTCATGTTGACGAAGGGGGTGGCAGAGGCGCTCTGCTGAATGGGTGGCATGTTCGAGTACATGCAGCTGTAATCTCCGTCATATGTGGCCGTGTTGTAGGTGGGGTATATGCTGTAACTGTAGGGTGCCATGCTGACGTTATACGGGGCGCTGTATGAAGGAGATCCGCCCAGACAAGGTTTCCCATCACGTACCAGCACAGGCACCGCGACCCTGCGGGGAGTGGGAGCTGCTCCTCCCAGCTCCAGACTCTTGTCCTGCCGCTGCCGTTTGCACTTGTACCTGCGATTCTGGAACCAGATCTTGACTTGTGTAGAGGTCAATTTTAACACGTTGGCCAGGTGGTCTCTTTCGGGGGCAGACAGGTACCTTTGCTGTTTGAAGCGCCTCTCCAGCTCGTAGACCTGGGCCTGAGAGAACAACACTCGGGGTTTCCGTCTTACTCTCCGTCCAGAGCCTTCCAAAGCTTCGTGTTTCTTTGCTTCGTGTGTAATGTGCTTTTCCATTGAAATTCCTTCTAGATCGTAATGCAAAAAAACACGCTTTATTTTAAAACCAGGCGGGGACTCCCTTTGAAATAGCAGTTATATATATATATATATATCTATATCTATAAGGAACGTTTTTCTCACCCTTTTTTGTGAAATGGGTGATTTAACACAACGCTATAAGTTGTTGGACTTGGTTGTAATGATCCAAGCTTTCAGTGGTGACATATGGGCAATAGACGTGGATTTCAAATATCGATTGGTTTTCTTGGCGACTGTATATTTTATAAGAATATTAAAAAATTCATTTGAGCGTTAAATCCGATCTAAATAAGTTTTAAATTGAATATGTACATTACCAAGTCCCCCCAAATCTACCGACTATTTGGTGTTTTTCCCTCTATTTATTCTCTGTAGTTATTCATGCTCGGCAAATAGTCGGTTTCCATTATTTGTACAATATTTCTCATCACAACCCTAACAGCACATTTACTGTATTGCAATTTCTTGCAAACCTTTAATACTCAAACATAACGTTTCCAGAATTAAAACTACTGTGTTGTATTTAACTCGGCGCCGTTGGCTGAGATGCAAACAAAGTAGAAGTCTCTCGGTATGTTTGGCGGCAGACAGGCAGTTCAGTGTGAGTGGACTGCAAAAGTGCTGAGATAAAAATCAGAGGAAAAAATCAGCAACACAGACCGACAAATCTGCTGCTTTATGCTTCGCTTAATTCATTGTTTTGATACCAAGTCCGTCGGAATGCAGGTAACATTTTTATGTTTATATACCAATCGTCCAACCGTCTAACAACTGGAGTAGGATACACTTGAAATTAATTCCATTTCACTCCGAGACTCATCTCTCATTCAACTTTAAGTGAAAGCGGCGTTCGCTGCCACCGTCGCCTTTCAGGTATTTGGTAAGTGATGGTAAGTGATGGTCTACTTACCTTGACTGCTGTGCTGGAAAGGGACGTCTGAGTGTGATTCACGGGAGCTCACAGCATAGCTTACACTCACGCCGTGAGAAAATTCCGGTTCATCCCTCTGTACTTGGGATTTGACAGCCTCACTCCCAAGGGCAGCGAGGGCGCGCTTGCTTTGATTTGCCTGCTCCAACATACAGGAAGACGGGGAAGGGAGAGCGTCCGGAACTGCGCTCATATGACTTGCAATCCGTTGCCTCTGATAGCGGTGCTCCAGGTTTAAAATGTCCTTCACGGAAAATGGTGTCGTGGATGACCCGGGGCTCGAGAGCATTTCTGGATCACTTCGGGCCGGTGCAAAACAAATGCTTCTGAGTTATCAGGAGGACGATGTGCAATTCCCAGCGTACATTTCTCTGTTGTAACCTCGCAATGTTTTTTGTGTGTGCTTACTCGGTTAAGCGATGACTGACGTTAGCAGAGGCAGACCCAGAAAGCTACTAGTTAAACACGGGGATTTCTATTGGTCACAGGTTTACAGTGCATCCCATACAGTTTATCTCAGTCTATAGTCAAAGGGCCAAACTCCCTGTTCCAGGGTTTATATAAGGGTGACTTTTTTTTAAAAAAAGGTGCAATGATTCTTCTGGCTGTTATCTCTCTCTTGCACTACTTAATGAAAAAGATATTAAAATGTTCAATTATTAAATACACGCATTTGATAACCTCGCCGCAACGTTTCTTGCGTTTGCAAAGAAAAAGCTAATAGGAACGCACACATGTCCATCAGGAAAGTCGTCAAATTTGCATTTTATAAATGTTCGTGTCGGTATTCGAAGTTAATGTTTACACAGTTCTCAACTGTGACTACAATACATATTTGTGGAGTGAATATTTCAATCCACCTTAGCAAACATATTGCACAATGAGGTTTAGAGTATTGAATTCATAACGAGAATTTGGCACATGGTAAATTAAAGTGATTTGAATTTGGAGCATTCTGTACTCGGATGAATTGAATTGAATTTAAATGTAACAGGACAGAAGCTCGCTTTTGTTTGCAAATGGTGCTTATATTAGCAGAATGAGATTCTTTGTGTGGGTTAAATTCATAACCGGTTTGTTCACCCGCCATTCTTAAAACAGTGCCAATCATTGCATTTCACGTATAAGGAATCTGAATAGTGTATATTGTGTTTTATTTTCATTCCGAATGAGTGTGGTGGTATGGCGTATTGATAGGAATGCATTATTTTATGATGCAGTGAGTGGTGTAACGCAAGTTTGCATTTATCTAATCTCGAAATGTGACGGCACTTTGGAATGACCTGACTTATAGAGGAATCGTCAAGAGTCAAGTGAAGGACGCTTTCGGATGAAGAATAGAATAGATTTGGCTGCAATCAGCAGGCATTCGGGAAATCGGAAATAACAATTTGCTGAATGCTTTCTGAACCCGACTTGTACCTTGGTTCAGCCATAGCGCATTCGAGGGAAAAAAAGATACTGGTTCTTTTAACACTGTTTATTTCTCTACTTAAAACTGAAGAGGTTGTTATAAGCGCTCTTTAAGGTGCTTTGATTGGGAAGGATGATATCTGCAGCGTACATTTGTCTGCAAAGAAAGCTTTGCTATTATTTGCATACCATTTGCATATTGTATTTTCAGTCTATTGTATGTAACATAAGTAAGAAATATGAGTACCATGAGGAAATATTGTTCATGGCTATGTGCAATGCCTTCGATGGGTCTTTTAATACCTGCTACCGGGTTGTATTGGTTGGCTCTCTCACGGATACAGCTTGAGCGGTCGCAGGACGTGATAAGATCTGACTGAATCAGTGTTGCAGTGTGAGAAGGAACTTGTGGAAGCTGCCTGTCTCTTCCTCTGAGCAATTATAAAAGTCAAGGAGTTAAACAGCGAGAGAGCCGAAACATTGCACGTCCATTACGTAAATCAGAGTTTTACAGTTGACAGACTGGACGGCTAAAGCGTATCTACTGCGAAGAATATATTCTGTAGATTCAACTGGAAACGACCTTCCTATATAGACGAGGAGCATCCAGTGAAATGTCAAATTTGGGTTAAAAATGAAGGTCAGATTTGCAATGTTTTGTGTCAGTGGCTTTAGACGTGTTGGGATTAAAAACGCATCTTCACCAAAGTGTAGGTTTTAAATTCCAGTTTGCAGCTCGTTACTATTTTTCCCAGAGATTTTTTNCCCCCCCATCTTAAACATGTAGCCGGGGATTGCACTCTGGATCAGTTGCTGTTGCGGTTGGCATTGCCACACACTGCAATAAAGGACCCAAAGTAAAACCCATCCCTATGTACGCTAATTCGGTCCTAATTCCCACCATGTAACGATCTCTTAATTTTGCAATATTTAGCTCTTTGCCCGTCCGTCATGGTATATTATTTTCCCCCCAAATCGCTTGCTACAACCGACGCATCGTATTCATCTTTTAATAAATACAATGCAATAAAAGCGATTGATAACTTCAAGTCGATACCCAAACCGCGACTTGGAGTATCACACCACGATAGGGCTTTTTTTTTGTTGTTGTTGTGGTTGAATGATTTCGAAGCACGCATCGAAATCGAAATGTAATGTCAGAGACCGTATTTAAAGTCAGTTCGACTTTACCAGCAAGTTATTTTTATATTTGGAAATTTCAAATGTAAAATCGTTGTGCGGTGTTGGACATAAGAAGGCATTTTAATAACCTGTACGAATGCCCACAGAATGGGTTACAGCCGTTTATCTGCACATGTTATTAAACGTGTTCAATTATATTTGGTTTTGGAATATTCTGAACTCAAAAATCACTTGTCAGAAATCTGTGAAAGTGAATCGACTTTAGCTTCCGACATTACATTTAAAATCCAATAAGTATTTTGAATGCATTTCACGAGAGAACCACCAGTATAAATCTACAGCTATAAATACAAATATATTCGTTGTGACCCTGATTTTAATGCGGATTCTGGAGCTGTCGAGTTTCTTTCGTATGTTTATAGTCTCAATCACTATGTAAAAAAAACACAGTGTATTTTAAATCCACCTGCAGCTATTTAACAATTACTTTCCTTGGAGATAAATATCCCACAAAGCAAAATAGTCCTGATTCTGGATGCCTGAATGTGTTGCTTCGCCCAAATAAAATAAATGCACTCTTAACTTAAAACATTTGGGACAGTGTCGAGAGCAAACAGCAAAATATTATCCTCATTCTCAAAAAAAGGATCATTTTGTATCGACGGGTGTCCCAGTTTAGACATGTATGTAACAGTGGGTGGTGCTGATATTTAGTGGGGGGGGGGGGGGGGGGGAGAGGAAGGTGTATGTGTGTGTGTGGGGGGGGAGGGGGGTCAACCGATAAAATACTTCATCACAAACGTGGTAATTGTTTTATCACAGAGATAGCCCGGGGTCTGCTTCAATTAAAATTCCTTTGACAGTGATAATGCTCGTGTGCAGTGATAATGGGGGACAGTTCCCATTGTGCTGGGGCTTTCTTACCACAGAGAGCTGTGCTGGGCTGTGCTGGGCTGTGCTGTGCTGTGCTGGGCTGTACTGTGCTGTGCTGGGCTGTGCTGGGCTGTGCTGTACTATGCTGGGCTGTGCTGGGCTGTGCTGTGCTGGGCTGTGCTGTGCTGCGCTGTGCTGGGCTGGGCTGGGCTGTGCTGTGCTGTGCTGTGCTGGGCTGTGCTGGGCTGGGTTGTGCTGTGCTGTGCTGTGCTGGGCTGTGATGTGATGTGCTGTGCTGTGCTGTGCTGTGCTGTGCTGTGCTGGGCTGTGCTGCGGGCAAACTGGAAGGTCACCACACACACAGTGCAGGCACCAGGCAGGGTTTGAAAGCTGGGAGCCAGGGAACGAGGTCGAGGGCTTGTCGCAAGAGACTTGCAGAGATGGGGGACAGCAGTCCAAATTCTCTTCAGAAGTAATTTGTACAAAAGCCCAACGCAACGGTCCATGCATTCAATTCCCTCCCACCCAACCTTTCAGATCGATGATATTATTTTTTATCGATACATTCTTTCCCAGCTTTTTTTTAAAAAAAATCTCTCGCAATATATTTCGACAGATTCCTTGCATTTCATAATAGTTCAGTTACCCACTGAACTCTCATGCTGGTTCGGATAGTCTTAAAATCTGGTGACTGACGGGTTTCTGCATGTGCCCGACACCCGGCTGACTGACTCAAAATAAACTGCTGCAAAAAGTCATCCATCCACCCAACTCCCCATAGGCTTAATATGTTTTATAGTACCGTAGTAGCTATAAAGTACTGTATAATTCTTATTGGATGCTACAGGGGGGTACCAGGCACGCTGCAGCATTACAGTTTTACACATTTTCCCACTGTTTGTTAAAAGAAAAACCTGCCTGGACTTTCAGTGGCCCCCAGTGAAATAGTTTCCACGTTGTACACTTGGAACAGTAGTTGTGCAGTTTAAGCTGCAAGTGATCCGTGGCGACCAATAGTTATGGAATGATAGATGGCTTTCTTTTACCGAAAAGAGCTAATCAGATCACAACACAGCCACCTATTTCTGACAGAGTAAACACTGGCTGAAGTGTTATTTAACTGCTTTGTTTCAAACTGATTAATAACTCATTCCAGATTGACACGCTCAGCCCTTGCTTGTTGGCCACCTTGCCTTTTCCTACCCAAATCGTATGAGCCGAGATCTCAGATTCTCCTCGTAGTGTTTACACGGATCGTTATCGAGACACGAGATTTAAGAGTCGATTAGCATGTGTTTAAGTCTTGGTCGGCTACCTCAGTTCCGTCACCAAACTCACAAACTACTGTTAAAGTAGAAGAACATGGAACTATTTACGCAATGCACCTTCCAATGCTTTCCTGGTTATTAAGGTGAAACCATCAGTGAGATGACTGGGTCCCAGTAATGGCAATTATGCAGGTTTTGTAGAAGCTAAATTATGCAATGGTGTACTGCATTGATGGTGTGTTGCTTGGAAAACAGAAAGAGACATAGATCTGGAAATACACATGCAAACATTGCTCACTGACTGAATGGTTACCTCCTGACTGTCGTACACAGATGTTGCTGTAATCTCAGCAGGTCGTGTACATGGCCGTAACAAATGGTAAATGTGCTGTCTCCGTGACACTCAGAGCCAATTCTCTCGTTTCTATCACGAAATGTACGCGAAGTGTCCCGTTTCACATCGGATCGCAAATATTGCACGCTTTGTTTGCAAATGAATCCGGAGTCATTACGAGCTCAGTGAATTGTTTCACAGCATTAAACGTGGTCCCATTTGTTGTGGAAGCGGCTGAGAATGTCAGGATCAACTTCTTTATCAGAATCAAATCTCTGAGCTGCCCCTGTTCCCCTGCGCTCTGGGACGCGTCCATTTCATGCGGCTGAGATAGGAGAGAGGAAGTCGCCACAAGCATTAAGTATCAGGCTATTGCTTTTCCGCCCTCTTCAGATTCTGTCACTCAACATTTCAGAGGCAGCAACTGATCACTGACCCCTACAATCAACATCTTCTCAGCAGCTGCATCGTCTTGCAAATGTTAGCCCTGAATAAGATATTAAATAACCGTGTGTGTGTGTGTGTGTGTGGGTGGGTGGGTGGGGGGTGGATGTTTTATGTTAGTTACAATGCACATGAGGCAGATTGCAAACTACTTGTGTTGTCCCACATCCCATATTTTTCAAAAGTAGAAATATGTTTTCAAATTAATTTCCACGGGCTGTGCAGTAAAAGAACATGGAATTTTCTGCATATTAATTAATTGATAGATGCCCAAAGCAGTACTGGCACAATT